TTAGGAGTAGTTCGCAAGTGTGTCCAGTGATTCACCCTAGATTTGACAAAGATCGCCCGGAACACCAGCGAAGTGCTCAAAAATTGGATATTTGGAAGAAATTAAAAAAAAATTGTGGTATTATGAAAATTGTTTTTTACAAGTTGGCATTTTCTGATTTTGTCCGCCCTAGTACCCTTGACTATCTAACATTCAAATTTGTAACGGAAGAAAAAGAGTAGGAATTTCTTGGTGTTTATGGTCCTCAAGAACGGCGGGATAAACTTGAATTCCTCCAGGAGTTGAGCTGAGTTTGTGGTCACGTTAGAGAGCCTATTTGCATCATTGGAGATTTCAATCTGGTCCGGTAAGAGGATGATTACAGAGGACAGCCCAGGGATAGTGACTTGATGGCAAAGTTCAACGATCTAATCAACTCTCATGCCCTCATTGATTTACCCCTCAAAGGAGCTTTGTTCACTTGGAACAGAGGTGGAGAGAGCAATTCCATGTCTCGTATCGATAGAGCATTGGTAAACCACATCTTCGAGACTTGCTTTGCGCCTGAGTCCGTCTTGGCATTAGAGAGGGTAGATTCGGACCATTATCCGTTGCTGTTACGATGGGGGTAATGAGGTGCAGATTAGGAGACCTTGGTAGTTTCTAAATATGTGGCTTTTACATGATGATTTTCTATCTCAGATGGTTGGCTGGTGGAGCATCCCGGTCGCGGGTACCGGTTATCTGTTCAGATTTGGGCAACGTTTGAGAAGCACAAAGTTCATGATTAAAGGATGGAATGCAGAGGTTTTTGGCAGAGTCGAAGTTAAAATTGCTGGGATGCTGAGAAAACTAAAGGACATTGAGAAATTGGAAGATTAAGGACCGTTGTCAGAAGATGTACAGGTGCAGAAAAGTCTACTGAGATGTGAACTAGAAAAAACTATCATCGTAGAGGAAATTGCTTGGCGTCAGAAATCGCGTGAGACATTGCTCAAAGTTGGGGATAAAAGCACGTCTTTTTTTCATAATGTCGCGAAGAGTAACCATCGAAGGAGCAAAATCCATAACATCAAAGTGAATGGGCGCCTCGTTGAAGACAAGGCGGAGTTACAAGAGGTTTTCATTAGGCACTTTCAGGAGAGGTTCCATGATAATGTCCCTGATAGACCCTTCCCGCGCAATTATAGAGAGGGCTTGATTGGGGAGGAGGATAACTTTGTGATCACATTGCCATTCACAGAAGCAGAGATTTGGAAGGCAACTTCAGCTTGTGACAGGGACAGAGCCCTGGGATTGGATGGATTCACTATTTCTTTCTTCAAGATGTGCTGGAATATCATTAAAGGGGATTTAATCAAAGCTTTTGATGATTTTTACATTACAGGACTGGTTCCTCACTCTGTTGCACATTCCTTCATCTACTTAATCCCGAAGAAGGAAGCCATTGAGGAGCCCAATGACTTTAGACCAATTAGCCTCATTGGCAGCATTAACAAGATCATATGGAAGGTCCTGATTGCACGCCTTCGACCTTTAATGGACAAAATCATCTATGTTAACCAATTTCCAGGGGTAAGAGGTAGACAACTTCACGAGGCCAGCCTTATTACGAATGAATTGGTGGACAGTAGGAGGAGAAGTGGGAATTCAGGATTGGTTCTAAAGCTGGATATTGAAAAGGCTTTCGACTCGGTTAACTGGGACTGCTTGTTCAAAATCATAGTCTTTTGGGTTTAACGCCAAATTCTAGAGATGGGTTCGTGGGTTAGTTTTGGCTTCTCGGCTGTCAGTTCTTGTTAATGGCGAAGCTGCTGGGTTCATCAAACCGATAAGGGGACTAAAGCAAGGCGGCCCGCTCTCTCCTTTCTTCTTCAATATGATCATGGACGTTTTTTCACTCATGATTCAAGAGATTAGTGATTCCTGGAGGATCAAGGGATTTTGTATGAACGAACAAACCAAAAGAGGAGAAGTCACTCATTTACTTTACGCAGACGACGCAATTATCTTCTGTGACGCTTCTGAAGAAGAGGTAAGGAGAGTTTTGGCAGTGTTGATTTGTTTCCAAAGCGTCACCGGCCTGAGAGTGAACGTTGCCAAAAGCTTCTTGTACCCAGTTGGGGACGTTGAGCAGATTAACTCGTTGACACAAATCCTGGGATGTCAGTGGGCTTACCTTCCAACAACCTACTTGGGGCTACCACTCCGAGCCTCCCCGACGGCTTCGGGTCCATGGAATCATGTCTTATCCTAATTGCAGGTCAAAATGGATGGATAGAAGGCTAGGATGCTTTCTCTGGGTGGGAGAATCATCTTGTGTAAATCCATTCTTTCGAGCCAACCTCTATTCCGCTGCGCACTCCTCACTGCTCCAAAGAACGTGATTCACAAGTTTGAGAGACTTCAGAGATCTTTCATTTGGGAGGGTAATTCGGATCACCACAATTTTCATCTCGTATCATGGGAACGATGTAAAGGGCCAATTAAATGAGGTGGGCTGGGAATCATGGATCTTGAGCTACAGAACAAGGTGATGATTTACAAATGGTTATGGAGATTTGCTCATGAAGAGGACAGCTGGTGGAAGAATTTGATTTATGAATTTTTTTTGCTTGGTGGAACTCGGTGGCGTATTGGAGAGATTGTGGGTGCTGTGGGCTGCAGCATTTGGAGCCATATCATCAAGAAGGCACCGGATTTTTGGAAATTTGCACAGGTTAAACTGGGCACCGGTGAAGCTACTTCCTTTTGGAGGGACGTTTGGAGGGGTGATCAGACACTCGTAGAAAGCTTCCCACGATTGGCCTCTGCTGCTGCCTCCCCCTTAGCTTCGATTAAAGATCTTCTTCGAATCTCGAATGAGAGTATTTCCTGGGAAATACCTTTTAACACCTCTTTTAGAGGTGGGGTTGAGAGAGAAAAGGAGAGATTTTTTTGACTCTTTGAATGTTATAGATTCATCTTTTTTCTCTGCAGATTCGGATTCCGTGGTTTGGCTGCCTGCAGAGAAATTCAGCGTGCATTCCATGTATGTGGCCTGACGAAAGAGAAGTATACCCAGCCTGACGACTACCCACACAGGACAATCGCTTTCAGGTCATCAACAATTGGCCCCGAAGGAAGCCAAAAAATCCGAAAGAATGGTGCACTTCAGTTCTGCTTCATGCTCTGTGTTGGAACCTGTGGAAAGAAAGAAACCGAAGAATTTTTTATGGTGTAGCCACTACGAAATTTGTCATCGCTTTCAGGATTGGTGATTCGATTTCGAAATGGCTGGCAGAGGAATGGCTCATGTTTCTCAGGCAAAGAACTGTCGGCATAAGAGTACTGTTTCGAGCATCTTAGGTGTTTGATGAATCCATCAGTCTGCCAATGCGTTTGTTTTTGCTGCTGAATTTGCAGCTTGCTGGCCTTTTGTTTTATTCCGGGTCCGGCCGCGGCTTGCAGCTTCTGGCCTTTTGGTTTTATTTTTGTTTTTGTTTTTGTTTTTGTTTTGGTTTTTGTTTTGGCTTCTGTTCTTCTTGGAGGTCCGCTCCTCTTTGTCTCTTTAAAGTTTTCTTAATAAATTGATGTCACCATTATAAAAAAAACACTATGTTTCCGAAGGAAGGGAGAAAAAGGAGGGAAGGTTAGGAAAATTTGGAGGGGAGGGTGAGTTTGGAGGGGAGGGAAATTGGAAAGAAAATGTTGTTTTATGGGAAAAAGTTGAGGGGAAAGTGGGAGAGAAAAAGTAGATTGGGAATTGTGATATGTATTATATTTTATTGATGATAGAATAGTTAAATAATTAAATAATGTTTTTATATTATTTACATTAATGTTGATCAAATTTGTTCTTCTTTGCTAATTTTGTTAACTAGAACAAATTAAAAGTTGGTTATTTGAATGAAATTTGTTAACCTATTACTAAAATTTTGTTAGCTATTTTATTGAGTAATAAACTTAGCAACTAAATATATAAAATACAACAAATTACATGTACAGTGGGAGAAGATGACCGACGAGCTCTTGGGACAAAGAAGAACAAAAGTGTTGTGTTTTTTGTCCTGGTTCGTGTTCTTTCTGATATTAGGGGAGAAGGAAGAAGATAGTGGAGAAAAGAGATGATAGAGGAGAGATGGCAAATAAAAAATGAATTAAAGGTTAGTGGTGGGTTTCTCTCCAAATTGAGGGGTTAGGTTGAAGAGTCACCCTTTCTCCCTATTTCATTCCCTTTGCCACTGTTCCGAATTTAGAAAACAGAGTTAAGGGGTCGTTTGCTTCATGGATTTGGATGTGGGATTTTGTTCTTAAATCCAAAACATAAAGGATTTGTCCAAAATCCATTGTTTGTTGAGCTAAAATGGACGTTACCAAATCCATGGGGTCCACGAATTTGGATCTCCAAATCCGTGGCTCCACGGATTTGTAAATCCTACCTATTTACTTGGGATTTGAAAAAAGGAACAAATCATTCATGAAAATGACTTATATATCTCTTTATAATTTATTTATTCCAACTTTACCCGTCATTATTTATTCTTATAGCTACAAACTTAGCCATGAAAAGTAATATTGTAGCTAATAACATGCTAATGACTACACAATCTATGGCATAAGCTAATAACATGCTAATGACTATATAATTTATTACTCATGGCTATTTATGAAAGTATTTGTCACACATTTATTTTGCCATAAGCGTATGTTTATTTTGATTCAAATTTTAATTTGGATGGCAAATAATACCCTTTAGCTACAAACTATATTTATTGTTAAAATAGTAATTCTAACATAGTGTTTGTATTCCAACCATTTCCTACCCTTTCCTTCTTTTCCTTCCCATATGAACATAGTGTTTTTTTGCTTGCAGTGTTTGACGGAGAAAGCAGAGGCAGAATGTGCGCGTTAGAGAATCTTGGCTTGGCACTGCTTTGCTGCTGGGTTTGCGACTGAATGGGGAGGTTTAGCCTTTCAGTAGAGAGCAAACAGTGAAGCGAAGGCAAAAGCTGCAACATAATTCTTTCAACCCCAAACATGGTAATTGCTTAGGTACGCACCCTTCCTCCCCACTCACTCTCCCTCCTTCCCTCATTGCCGTCTTCTTCTCCTTTCTCAACTCTCATTTCCCACCCGTGTCTTTCGCCATAAACAAACATTTCCTTCAGCATCTTTTCCTCTTCATCCCACTACTGGTTCCATTGTTGGATTTTCCCCTGACCCACTCATATTCTTTAAGAAATACAAGGAAAAGAAGAAACATAATCTGATATGAACAACACTATCTGCAGACAAAAGCGCCGGTTATGTTAGGCACACTGGTTTCCTCCCACACTCTCTTCTTCTATCTCTGATTCATAAACCAAAAACCCTCATCCGGAGTTTCTCTGTCAAACCACAACAGACACCTGCAAAGCTTCAGAAGTTGTTTCATCTGGTTGTCAGTCATTGATGGAGGCGGTGAACAGCAAAGGGTCATCATCATCATTGTCTAGAAGAAGAAGAAGCTATATAAGCAACAGTTGCTGCAGAGCATTACTCTGTTTCGTCGTCACCATCATCTTCTTCTACAGTGATACTTTGTCTTCTCCTGGTACTTTCCTATCCTCCCTAACTCACAACTACTTCATTTACTCTGCTAATTGAATGTCGACATTAATGGGGTATTCTTTTTAAGGAAGATGAGGCAAACAGAAACGGCAGGAAATATGACTTGTCTCATACTCTGTAACTGAATTTCTTCTTCACATTACTGAATGTGGGTAATCTGCAGGCATCAGGTGCCCTTTCTCTGCTTCCCATGATTTGCATTTTCAGGTTAGTACTCTCTACTTCTACTTCAAGTTCAACGTAATTACTCTCTCTCTACTGTTACAAGATTGAAACTTTACTGGTGAATTACAGTGAAGTGAATTCCACCCCACCAAACCAAGAAATAGTCTTGTCTTGCCTTCCTGCCTGCCGGTCAGCCCCTTTTTTGTTTTCTGTGTTTTTTCCACTCACTGTCATTTCTCGTCTTTTCCTGGTCACCAAACAGAGGCAATTGGTACGGTCCAAAAACAACCCACTGTGACTGCGCCCCTGCACCCTACACTGATCACTATTCCCCTCGCTTGTTCTCTTCTTCTTTTTCTTTGCTTAACTAATAATGTAATCTTTCATCTGCCGTCCGATTACGACGAAGGCGCCACCACGGATCACAACTATACATGGGCGCGGGATCATGCTTGGGCCGGCACGGCACAAACACGCTTCAGGCCCATTTATTTCGTGTCGTGCTTGGCACGGCCCGTCTGTTTTCGTACTGTGTCGTGAAAGCTCATTTACTAACTTTGCTAGGCCCGGCCCAGGCCCGAGCACGGTTGGAATCGTGTCGTGCCGTGCCTATTCGTGCTCATGCCGTGTTCGTATTCGTGTTTAATGAAAAGGAAGAAAATAAAAGAGATAATGAAAAAAGGTGAAAATTCGATGAAGAAAGATAGTATTAACTGAGAATGTTTGAGAAATGTAACAAACAAGGGGGAAAAAGAAAATTGAAAGTATAGCGGGTGTGAGTTTGCTTTGTTTAATTCTTCATCCATTTTTACTTATGGTAGTAATTACGTATATATCTTTATGACACCTCTAACAACGACAAATAATTATTTGTCTACTTGTATTTTGTAATTTTTGAACCTATTATTCTTTATATATCTGTTTTCTATCAAATAAATGTTATTTTTGTGCCATATCCGTTTATATACTCAATAAAATCTCAAAAATATTAGGCCCAACACGACCCACTTATATACCGTGACATGCTCGTGCTCGTGCCTATGAAATTTAGGCCCGACACGGCCCATAGATTATTCGTGCTCGTGCCGGGCTGGCCCATTTATTTCATGCACGTGCTCGTGTTGTGCTCTAACCGTGCCGTTTTAGCCCATGGGCGACCCGGCCCGGTGCCCACGTACAGTCACAACACTGCTACAAGAGATGTGCACCTTGGTTTAGCTTCTTCTTCAGCTTGGCAATTTATAGGGCGTCTCTATTTACAGTCGACTGGAGATTCCCCATCAAGGAGGCCATTTGGGACGACCCAGCTTGAGCCTGAGAAGTCAGCAAACTAGACACATGAAACACAGCAAACCAAAGGCGGTGAGAAAGAAAGAAAACCACGAAGAAGATGCGAGAAGTGGTCCCAGAGATATGATCAGGAGTAGGGACGTCTTGGGAGGTATACTTAGATGGAAGGACTAGCATGTCCCCGATATCATGAAGAGCAAGCTTGGTCGACTCATGATTAACGAAGGCATACGCCGGGATGAGGCGAGAAGCTTCTCTCTGACCAGAAGCCCGGACCATTTGGGTCGGGAGACCCACAGAGGATTTTCCAGCCACCGAAGTAGGAATCACCAGGGGAGACGAGGTTAATGGAGCAACATGAGACGAAGACCCATGGGAACTCTTAGACCCTCTCTTGGGGCGGGCTCCTTCTCCGAGAGCTCTGATTCCTACAAAAGGGAGGCATAAGTAAAACAGATGAGAAAGTGGAGAAAAACAAAATAGGTTGTAGGATAACTAACCATAAAACTCGTGAATAATCTCAGCTGGAACATATATCCCTTCGGGAACTAGAATGAACTTGACCCGTTCCACCAGGTGGGACAAATGAGATTTGTACAAGCTAAGCGTATGTGATCCCCGCATCCCAACCATATGGGCAAGATCGAGAGCGGCTTATTTTGCACTCAGAGAAAGCGGTGAGTTCGGGGCAAGTCGAAAGTAGCCTCATTAGAGGGACCAACAGCGAAGGTTCCACTGGGAATGTTTGAACTTCCCACATCATCTCACAACGATGCAAGTGATAGACATCATCAGGATCCTCTTGGAAAGGGTATGGGGCGCTCTCCTTGTCAAGGCTTAGCAAGGATGAGGTAGACAGGAATAGGAGGACCGTGTAGCCTCACTGTCTCAAGGTCAACTAGACATTTTTCCCTGTGATGGTCATCCAAAAGACACTTTATGATGCAATCCCCTGGATCCTCCTTGGTTTCATTGACTAGGATGAATTATCCGTAACCCCCTCGGGGTTTTCTCGATAATGGTCTCCTTTTCTTAAATGTTGTCATCACCTTCAATGAAAATCTTAAACTTTGCTTCGAGATTTTCCATCAAATCATCAAAATCAGCTTCTCTAATAGTGGCACTGCCACTTCTGCTCCTTCAAAAGCTTCTATTGGATTTCTGAAGAGGGATGGGTTCCCAGCATCTTCCTTCTCTTCTTCCTTTTCAATGCTTGGGAAAATTTTGGTTTCTCTCATCCTTTTCAAGATGACTTTAACTTCCTCATTCTTGGGATTCTTTTTGTGTTGCTTGGAAGGTTTCTTTGAGGCTTCTGATGTTGACATCTACTAGGAGTGCAAGTTGTCTTTCAATGTTCCTGTAGCTTGCTAGCAATCCTATCACTGTTGCCTCCAGCTTCTTGAAACTGGTGGGTTGCTGATTGGGGAAATCTTCTCCTTACGCCTTGTATTGAGGTTGATTACCAAATCTAGGTGGACCTGGTTTCTTCTTCCATTTTGCTTCATGAATATAAGGTGCATTTGTAGAGGTGATGTTGGGTTAATCATAGGGATTCTTTCCTCCAGGGGCCGTCCATTGACCATGAGGCATGCGAGGTTGGTTGAATCTTTGATATAGAGGATAGTTGAATATTTGTTGCAGAGGATAGCTTCCTTGTTGAGGTCTCGATTGGTAGCCTTGGTTAATATAATTGAGATCAGCATGTCCTTGCCCTCCTTGGCTATAGCAGTTGATACCTTTGTGTCCTTCTCCTCATGCTTCACATACTAACAAAGATGCCACAAGTCCATTCTTTGAATTCATTGATGCAATCTTTAGTTGTTGTGGCAGCTCCATCATATGCTCACAAAGGGTTGTGACATTATCCTCCTTTCCTAGGAAAGCCTTCAATGGTTTGATTGTTGATCATCGTTTGGACCAGCTCTTTGACTGTCTTGCTAGTGTGGCAAAATGTTATTGGCGTTACACTCTAATTATTGTTGTGAAATCTCCACTGGTCGACTAGTTGACCATTATAGTGGTATCTCGATCTCGAACTTTGGCAAAATACTTTGCAATATACTCTGGTGTGAATCCATGATGGGTGCATGCCTTGTTGTACTCTTGGAATCTCCTCCAAGTATCATAGAATGTCTCTCCTTCCTTCTATTGAAATTGGGTAATTTCATCTTTAAGATCCTCTATCTTCCATGGTGGAAAGTATTCTTCAATGAATGCTTGATTAAGGATCTCTCATGTGGTGAAACTTCATGGCGGATGGTAATCTAACCACTGCTTTTCCCTTCCCACAAGTTTGAATGGGAAAATGCATATTCGGAGTCCAACTTTGGTAGCTTCGTCTCGTGGAACGAAATTGATGATCTCCAAGAATATCTTCAGATGCTGCATAGGATCATCATCATTCCTTCCTGTAAGCCTCCTAGCTTGTTGCACCATTTTAATCAGTCGAGTGCGGATCTCAATGGTAGTGGGTGGTGCAGCAATGTTTGAGGTGATGTTTCATGCTCTTGACATTGAATACTCATAGATAGTAGGTGGGATGGCCACTCATCTTTCTCCTTTTTTGCCAGTCATTGATGATGGTGTTGAAGATGTTGAAGAGGCTCATTCTTCATCATAATCGAAGCTACAATCTTCGGTATGATATCCTCCTCTTTCAAACTTGGCTTGAAATTGGCGTGACTTGAAGGCTCCTCTTCTCCTGAGTTAGATGCTCATTCCTTCCATCTCAAGATGGGTAAACTCGATGCTCCTCCTTCTTGGATGATCTCTTGCACTATCTTTAGGTTTTTGGCTTTTCTTCTAGTACTTACCAGACTCATATGACAACCTGTAAAATAATCTAAAAAAAAACTAATAAATAGACTAATGATGGTTAGATGCTTTTATATATGATTAGAAATCCCCAAAAATGGCACCAAAAACTTGATGCACATATGACATGCAAGTGATAGAAGTCCTAGGATGCCCTAGGGTCGTATTCCACATGGTATTCTAATGCATAACTACTCACACCATACCATCCATGCTCAAACAATTATAAGATAGACTTTTAGGGATTTTATTCGAGTAAAACATACTCATTTATATCATGCATCAATGACTCATTCATATAATCGCTCTATTCCTTCTACTAAGGCCATCTGTTACACCCCGATCTTTTTAAGGGACGAAATGACTATTTTACCCCTGGATAAATTTATCTAGTTTCACCGTAATATCGAGGAGGATAAAAAAAATGTGAACTATCGGTTCGAACGGTGTCGAGTTTCGATGTAAAACGAGGAAGTTACGGGTGGGCTTAAGTGAGAGGTTTGGAGAAGGTTGAGAAGAGAGAAGGAGAAGAGGAGTGGGCTTGGCCCGAGACGAGAGAAGGAGAGGGAGATGGACTGGGCTTGCGGCCCAGAAGGAAGAAGGGGAAAGAAGAAGGGCTTTGGCCCGAAGGAAAGAAAGAAGGAAATGAAGAAGGGGAGAAGATTTGGCCCGGCGGCCAGGGGAAAGAGGAGAAAAGGAATGGGCTCGGTTTTGGCCCAAGATGAGAAAGGGAAGGAACAGGTGGGCTGGAGCCCGAAAGAAAGAAAGAAGCGAAGGAAGAGGTGGGCTGGAGCCCGAAAGAAAGGAAGAAGCTCTTGCTTCTCTAGGGAAATCGACCGGAAACGGAAGAGACAAGGTAGCGGCGGCGATGTAGCAAAAACGGCAGTTTCAGGGGAGTTAATTAGGATTTTCAATGGCCGATTAATGAGGGTAGTAATTTTGGAATTCAATTGGTAAGGATGGGTGAGGATCATCTTGTTAAAGAAATGGATCATGAGTTGAGTTATAGAGGAAAGCACTCTCTGTTTCGGAGAACAAACCAGAGGTTGACCGAAGAAAGGGAGAGCAGGTCGGCGACGATTGCGACGATTGACCTTGAATTTCAATGGAAGGGTCGAATCGATCAGGAAGAGGAGGAAGGTGGATCCGAACTAGAATGGTGGCTCGGGGACGCAAGAAGAAGCCCGGAAGCTCGACGGCGGCTGTAGCGGAAGGCGGCGTGAACGTCGTCATCAATCGGACGGGAGTTGACGCGATGGCAAGGCCGCGAGCTAACCCGCCCAAACAGAATGGGGTTTGGGCAACTCGGAGGTGGCCTCCCAATTGTGGGCCGAGGAGGGGTGTGGAAGACGGCGGCGGCGGCGGGAAGCTCCAGGCGGCGGCAGATGGCGAACCATTGCTCGAGGAAGAAGAAGAGGAGCCGGAGGAGTGTGATTGTTGTGGGTTCAGGGATGGCGAGAAGGACGATGCCAACGGTGGCCAGAGCCGCACCGTCGACGGCGGCGAAGGTGTGCAGGTGAGAGTTCTCCTGTTTTATTGGAATTCCATGACATTGAGTTGGAAATTTGATGAATAGTCAAGGGCATTTATGTCTTTTTGGAATTGGGGAAATTTGGTAAATTTAATAAGTTTGGGTGCCGTAAAGTAATTGACCAGGCTTGGGGGTGAGTTCGGAATTGGTAAATATTTGGGTACCGGATTGAAATAAGCCGTTTGGACTGGAATGTTTAAATCAGAAAGTGGAAATTGGCCTGGAGGACTGAATTGTACAATTCTGGAAGTTGGGGTCAAATTGGTAAAGGTCAGGAATTCGGGGTACCAATTTTTAATTCGCCATTTTGGGGCAAAAAGGTAATTTTCCAGAATTTTGTGGGGAATCCTAGGAAAGATTAAATGGAGGAATTTGGGATTGGAATCAACCAAATTTGAGGTCGTTTGATTAGTTACGTTCGTAGAAAGGAGTATTAAGTTTTGCCTAAATACTTAATAGGAGAATTTGCAAAAGGAGATGATTGAGCATGGAATCTCGGACGATGACATGGATCAACCGGCAATAAAGAGGTGTCGTATTGATAAATCAAGGTCGGCTAACAAGGTGAGAGAAAAGGGGGTAAAATCTCCGTCGAGGTCTTTTAGTTTATGCCTTTTTAATTCAGTTATGTTTGTTATTTTTCAAGTATGCGCGATAATGTGTGTGAGGCATCCCACCTCCTACTTAAGGTGGAGGCACGCGTTGTGCTATGTATGTGTGTGTTTATGATGTATGGTTGATGATAATTGAACCCCCGGGCGGTTGGGCCACTACTGGACGCGGTAGATGGTCGGGTCACTACTGGACGGCGATACGTAACGCAGTAGTTGACCGGGCATGGACTGGACGACGATACGTAACGCAGTACCATTGCCTTGAGGATAGGGACAGCGGACGGCGATACGTAACTCGGTGATTCCCTAGTAATAACTATATAAGTTAAGGTAGTAGTAGAGAACTTCTATGATTTAAGGATAAAAGTTGAAAACCTCTATGAGTTAAAGTTGAAATGAGTTATTAAGGATGAAAGTGAGAACGACTTTCATCTAAGGAAAGGAAACGCTAATAACGTGTTTTAGTAGGAGATTTCTAAGGGCAGAGACCTTAGGAAGTAACGACGAGACTGGCCCCTTCTCACTCACCAGGTTGAGGTTGGGTTAGCGGAAGTGAATCCCGAGAAGAAGTAAGATGAGGAAAGCGGTCGTGCCAGTACTGATGATGAGATTTCAAGGAGCCGGGTGAAGTGTTATAGTTAAAGTTTGAAAGTTATTTTATGATTATGAGTATATGTACGGGAGATTCAAGGTTCAAGATGTTGGGTTAAGTTGTTTAAGTATTTGGATTTTGGTTGCCCAAGTGTTAGGGCTTTTCGTTTAAAGTTCTTAAATAATGTCAGTTGTTTATTTCAAAATGTGGTTTGGGTTGCTCCGGAGTAACCGGTTTTTTTTTGGGTTTGAGTTGTGGTTTGATTTTCGAAAAAGGTCGGGACTTTACACCATCGTACTCGAGCTTTCACCATATGCAATAAGAACTTGACTAGTTAATGTGTGTTTTCCCTACAACCATCAACTAATCAATGTAGAACAAAGAAGTGAGGATAGAACATGATTAAGCATGGTCCTCTTGAGCCATAATCGATGGTCTATAGTATCGATGATCTAACAATCTAGCATTGATACTACTCCAAATATAGATGGTTGATCATTCCCTCTATACTTGTGTAGCATCAATGGGGTATCACTACCGGGTAATTTCTTAACAACAGAGATGATACTAAGCACAATGCATATAGTAGTATACTATAAAATCATAATCATCGATGATAAGAAATTATTGAATTAGATGAGCATCGATAACAAACACATATGCATAGTATACTAAAGCTTCAATGCATACACATAGGACATCAAATATCATAAGTATCAACACAAGCATAATATGACATCATAGCATTAATACATATAAGGATAAACGAGTTCACATTCATACACAATCAATTTCAAACTAGCTATACATAGAAGAGATAGGGTACCACCGTCGATGATGAAGGTATCACCTTAGCTATACCCTCTCCTACAAATGCTAAACTCTCACTCGAATAGAGTGTCTACATAAGTTTTGAATGGAATTGTGCAGCCTACTAAACTAATGAGTCAAACTCCCTATTTATAGAGGTAGAACTCGGTAAAAACCTTCCTAACCCTAGTAGGATAAGGTCCTCTTACTTGGGGATGAAGCAAGGCCTTCTGAAACTCAATTGGGCGCATACTCAAGAGTTGTGGCTGGGTGGCCGTTGGAACCACCACTAGTTTTTTTCGTGGGCTGTGACACGCCAAAACACAACACCAAACTGCGACCAAGTGTAATCGCAGTCCGGGAATGCAGTAAAATGGCAAGTTCTATTATCAACCCGGGGTCTAGATCTACTGCTTACTCCATGAGTATCTATTATCTAGCCAACTAAGTTAAGTGTTTGTTGTTTTAAGCAAAAGCAGAAAGAAAGCAGGAATTGGTACGGTTTTCTCAAGCAAAGAAGAGTCACTCGGGAATGAGTCCCCCTATCTCCTTAGTTAGGTTTCAATTGTAATTTCCCTGGGTTGATTTACTGTTGATTAGACTGCGGAAGATCCGACAGTAGATTGGAATCTCTTAAGCTGATCAAGCCCTCTCAGTCTAACTACTCGGCAGACGACTAGTCTTCACCGGGATAGAAAGCTGAAGCAATAAGCACAGAACTCCACTACTGGAATTGGATTCCAGTACAAAGCAGTAAACTGGCTAACTCTCGTATAGCCAATCTCCTACTACCGAATGATGAGGCTCTAACAACCTAATCAGATTCTATCTATTTCAGGTTGCAGCAGAAATCAGGAAAAGCTGATCAGACTTCAATTGACTCAATAAACATGCATCATTCGATTATAATCAAGCAGTAATATCATCCCAAGTCAGTACAATCAAATCCCTAACACATGGAACTAGGGTTCTTCATACCCAAGTGAGAGAAGGGTTCTACTCCATAGAGAGAGAGAGAGAGAGAGAGAGAGGGAAACAGAATACAGAGTAGTCATACTCATAAAGAGGAGGAAAAACTGCTCTGGGATGATGATTTCCACTCCTATGACGATCTCCAAGCTCGATTTGATGAAACCCAGCTCCAAGATAGCTTCTAGGATGTGTTCTTCGTACTTTCTCTCTCTAGGGCTCTGTTTTTGCTCTGAAAATCCGATTCTCTCACTTGCAGCCCGAAATTGGGTAAAAACCAGAAATTCCCGACTCACACGGGCAGGCTCACACGGCCGTGTGGCATACCCAGTTGCCCGTGTGACTTCAAAACGCCGCGTTCCGAGTAATTGGATTTCAGGCTTCCTACACGGCCAGAGTCACGCGGCCGTGTAGCTCACCCAGCCTGGCCGTGTGAAGCCTCGCAGAATTCTACACGGCCAAACTGCAACTTCACACGGCCGTGTGGGAATTATTTGTGCCCGTGTGAGGTCTCGCACAATCTCACACTGCCAAATTGGTCACTTGCACGGCCGTGTGAGTTGTGTGTGTGCCCGTGTGGCTTCCTTTGTGACTTGCCTCGCGCCCGATCTTCGTCCAATCGACGCCGAACTCGCTCCTAAACCTTCATTCACTTGCTAGGACCTGAAATATCACAAACAAACACAACCTAGCGTGAAATCGGCCTAAAACACGAGAATTACCATCTCAAACGACTCCAGAATAGGGGTAAAAACATGTGCAATTAACGGCTTATCAAACTCCCCCACACTTAACCGTTTGCTTGTCCCCAAGCAAACCAAGTCAGACACAAGGTAAGCTTACACATTTCAACCATACCATCATTGGGGACAAATCATATAGGCACAGAAACACGTAAGTCATACTGGTTTTCAAACATCAACACATGAACAACCTCAATAGCAACCTGAACAACCACCACAGAACACATTCGAGTGCAGCAAAATCGAGTAAAGGAGGAGTCTCCCTTCTGTTCATCAACCAACATAGACTTGACTCAATCACTCACTCAAGACAGTCAACTCATGCATAAAACTCAAGACATCAGAATCAAGACCGAGCCGTCTAGGTCCTCACCGGGTAAAGAGTGTAAAGAACAAGGAAATGAATCGCTCACTCTCGACCAGTGGGGTCAGGAAAATTTGATGCGAAAAATGCACATACTTATTCTCTCAATTCCTAACATCTCTTCACCATGACGGCAACCTCTAAATGTTAGAGTTCACATAAATGGTTGTCATCACTAACTAATCAGGAGGGCTTAGACACAGGTTCAAATGACTGGCTAGGTTCTTGGACATGGGGAAAAAGCCTTTTAGGTGGTGGAAGTATTCATAGCACAAGGTTCCACAATTCCAAACCCAACAAACTCACAGTCAATCAAACCAGTACTTTCTTTCTGCTATTCTGCATTACTCAAATTCAGAGCACAAGAGCGAATGAGGTCACATGAATACCAGTATTTCTAAGCCAGACTGCTAAGAAACACTACTTAATGGGCATTATTCAGATTTTTGGTGGTGGCTCACTTTTGCTTTCATTTTTTCTTTGTTTTTCTTTCATTTGTTTTCATTTCTTAAGAGAACCACCACCTCTGCACATTTTCAAACACCTGCCCAACTTTTTAAGAACTACCTCCAACTCTCACATTACATTTAGCAGAAACAGCAGAGAACATGTAAAAATCACTCTATGGAACCTTCTAACAGATGCAAAAGGGTGACTTTTCATTGAAGACCGAAAGAAAGGATAACACACGGCTCAAAGGGGCTGACTAGGAGGTATGACACACCAGGACAGTCAATTTGGTCGTGGGCTAATCCTATGCCTCCATCATCTTAGCTAATGACAACGTGAATGCTACACATCATGGAAGAGGGAACTATCGCACAAGAAAGAAACGAGCAGGCTCAAATCTCACATGGCTACCTATATGCTCTATCTCTCATTCTGATTCCCTGAACTAGATGCATAAGAGACTGTCAAGAACAAGTAATCAATCCAAGTCACAGTTGGTAAGCAAACAGTTGAAAAGCTGAACCCTACACAACTCCACTGCACGTCTCAGTCATCATTATAGGTTGTCCTAATCACCATCCAGTTGTCATGCATTAATCCGAAAACCATTCAATTCACCAATCAAAACACAGTGCCAATATGATCAAACAGCCGTACTTGGAGCCCTCAAATCTCGAGATTTGGACAGTGGACTAGGCTCCAAGCACACTTATATAAATTCCAACCGATACAAAGCACCCCCCCACACTTAAGCACGACTGATAATGATGTAAATGCACATGTTTGTGCCCCTAGTTCTTATCCGTTTGAGGAGTATAGTCGTGTGTTTTGGCCTATTTTACGCCGGGTTGTGCTATTTTGTCATGTTTCAGGTCCCAGGTGTCGAAGGGAAGGCTAAGCGCGAGTTTTGGGGCATTCGGAAGTCATTTCGGTGAGCTGGAGCCAAAACACGGGCAGACCCAAGGCATTACACGGCCGTGTACTGCTGGCCGTGCTTTT